TTCTTTCTCTCTCCCTCTCTTTCTGCCTGTCTGTCTATCCCTCTCTCTTTCTCTTTCTTTCTCCTTCTCTCCCCCTCTCTTTGTGACTCTCTCTCCCTCTCTCTTTTCTCTCTCTTTCTTTCTCGCTCTCTCCCTTTCTGTCTCCCTTCCTCCCTTTGTCTCTCTCTCTCTCTGTGTGTGTCTATCTCTCCCTCTCTATCTTCTGGAGGCAAAAATGTGCCATTTTTGCCCGTTTTTTTTTCTTTTTGCCTCCTTTCACACACACACACCCATCTCCAGAGTATTCTGCAGGCCAAAACCAGGCAAAAATAGCTCATTTTTTGGCCAAAACCAGACTGTTTTCTCCCGGTTTTTTGCCTCCTTTCACTCCCCTGCCTGTGGGCCCTCCCCTGCCCACCTGCACCTTTCAGTCTTACCTTTGCGACAGCAACATGTGGTGAGCATTGAACCATTGAAATGAGCAGAAGTGGGAAGTGTGGCTGGACAGTGGAAGATAAGGGCGACAGCTGGAGGAGGCCTCCCCAGGGCCCCCATCAGCCAGGAAAAGCCAGCTATGCAGGAAGTGGCTGGGAGGAGAGGGGCGAGGGGTGGGATGAGGGGCGGGGCTTAACCCCACCATTCCGTGAACCAGATAAATTGGGTCAGAGGGCCACATCCGGCCTATGGGCCGTAGTTTGAAGATGCCTGCTTTAAATTAATACATAATCTACTAATGATAATATAATAATATATTCCTTACACCTTATACGTTATTTAAACATAGTATAATAATAGTAATTTATACCTTATTCCTATACAATTATACATATTTATACCTACATATACCTATCTATACAATTCACATAAATGTTTGTATATAATGATGTATATAATTCTAGTCTAACACTACACATTTGTCTCAGCTATCCTCCTTTTATCTAACCATTCATAGATTTTTGCCCAGATTTTATAATACAATGTTTCACTTTATCCTTGAGTTCCAAGGTGAGTTTATCCATTTCTGCACAGTTGAAAAATTTTAGTAGTATTTCCTATTCAGTTGGAATATCTTTCTCTTTCCACTTCTGCACAAAGGCTATCCGTGCCGCTATAAGTATATACAGTAGTAGATAATTTATGTCTTTCTTGTATTTGTCCTCTGTCATTCCCAAAAGGAAAAATTCCAGTTTGACTTCTATGATTATTAACAAAATTTCTTCCAACCAACTCTTTATCAGATTCCAATATATTTTTGCCTTTGGGCATTCCCACCACATATGATAGAAGTTCCCCGGAGCCACCTCGCACTTCCAACATGGCAAAGAATTTCCCTTATTGATTCATGCTAATCTTGGAGGGGGGGGAGGTGTCACCTATAAAACATCTTATATAAATTTTCCTTATATGAAGTTGCTAATATAATTTTTAATTTTTTTCCCAGAGAGTCTGCCAATTCTCCAAATCAATACTATGCCCAAAATATTTACTCCAAATTATCATCATTTCTTTGACTTGTTCCTCTATCATGTCTTGTTCCAATAAATAGCAATATAATTTACTTATGGTCTTACCCTCCCTGCTTAATAGAATCTTATCTAATTCTGATCATTCTTGCTTTATACCCCATTCCTTTTTGTCTTTGCTAAATTTAGATTGTATTTAGAGGTATGCCCACCATTCCAATTCAATTCCTTCTTCCTTTAAAATGTTTCTTGCTTTCAATTCCCCTCTCTCGTTCGGAATATCTTTATAGGTGACAAATCCCCCTTCCCTAATTTAGTAAAATTTGGATGACATTTCCAAAGTTGACACCCATTGGGAATTTCCATATAATTACTTATTTTTGTCTTAATCCAGATATCTAACGGAGCCCTCCTGATATAATGCCTCCAGAAGTACTGATGGACGTTATGCTTTTCCTCCCATAAAATAGCATGCCATCCTGTCTGTAAATCGTGGCTTTCTAATGCCAATAGTCTTGTATTTTTGAGATGCATCCACTCACTTATCCATACCAAAGCTGCTGCCTGATAATATTTTTGCCAATCTGGCAAACCAAATCCCCCTCTTTCTCTAGCATCTTGTAATAACTTTAATCTAATTCTCGGTTTTTTCCCCTTGCCAAATGAATTTTGAAATATGTCTATCCAAATTAGTAAAAAAAATCTTTTTTGAGCCAAATTAGTATGCACTGGAATAGAAACAATATTTTTGGTAGGACATTCATCTTAATGGTGGCTATCCTGCCCATTAAACTTTTTATATCCACCCTGAATCAGCCCAGTGATGCCCTCGACGTGATGTCCCGATGCCTGGAGGCGGTGCAGCTCTGGATGGGGAGGAACAGGCTCCGACTCAACCCTGCCAAGACTGAGTGGCTGTGGGTACCGGCGTCTCGGTTCAAGGGAATATTCCATCTTTGGTCATAGGGGGAGAGCTGTTGCCCCCTGTGGATAGGCGCACAACTTAGGCGTCCTCCTGGATGCACGGTTGACCTTAGAAGACCATGTTACAACCATGACCAGGGGGGCATTTTCCCAGATTCATCTGGTGCACCAGTTGTGCTCCTACCTGGACCGAGATGCCTTACGCACGGTCACCCATGTACTCATCACCTCCCGGATCGACTATTGCAACGCTCTCTACATGGACTGCCCTTGAAAACCACTAGGAGGCTACAGCTGGTGCAGAATGCGGCCACGCAGGCAGTGAAGGGAGTGTCCTGATGCTCCCATGTCACACCCCTCCTACATGACCTGCTTTGGCTACCGATTGCCCTCCGGGTGAGGTTCAAGGTGTTGGTAATTACCTATAAAGCCCTACATGGCTTAGGCCTGGGGTATCTGGCAGATCACCTGCAGCCAGCAACAGCTCCCCATCTCCCAGTGCGCTCGCACAGAGAGGGCCTACTTGGGGTTCTGTCGGCCAAGCAATGTCGGCTGACAGCCCCTAGAGAGCGAGCCTTCTCTGTAGGCGCACCTACCCTCTGGAATCAGCTCCCCTTGGAGCTCCGAGTGGCCCCCGACCTTCGCTCTTTCCGCCGTGACCTTAAAACATGGTTGTTTCACCAGGCTGGCCTGAGCTGAAGGGGTTTTAATGGGAATTTTAGATTCTTTTATTGTTTGAATTTTAATTTGGACTTGTTGTTGCTTATTGCTGTGAGCTGCCCTGCGTCCTGGTGGAGAAAGGGCGGCATATAAGTCCGTTAAATAAATAAATAAATAAATAAATAAATAAATAAATAAATAAATAAATCAAAACTGTAATTTTCCCCATTTTTCCAAATCAGACCTAATTTGTGCCATTAATTTATCATAATTATCTTCTTTGAGTGTGATGCATCTTGCAGTCAATTGAATTCCTCAGTATCTAAGTTTATTCATAGTCTGAATATTTATCTTTCCCTCCAATTCTTTCCTTCCTTCCTTCCTTCCTTCCTTCCTTCCTTCCTTCCTTCCTTCCTTCCTTCCTTCCTTCCTTCCTTTCTTTCTTTCTTTCTTCCTTTCTTTCTTTCTTTTTTCTTTTTTTCTTTTTTGCTCTTCAGTCATATTTTTGACTATCATTTTCATTTTTTCCTTATTTATTTTTAGGCCCTCTACTTCCCCATATTCCTCCAGTACTTCCATCAGCCTAACACCGGATTGTACAAGATCGTCTGCAAATGTCTGTACTTTAAAATTTTCTTTTCTTATTTTTAAACCTTTGATCTGTGCATCTTCTCAAATTGTTCTAATTAAAGCCTCTAATGATAAAATTAACAATAATGGTGAGAGTGGACAACCTTGTCTTGTCCCTTTTTGGAATGGAAAATTCTTCGTCGTTTCCCCATTGATTACTACTTGCCTCCTGTCTTAAATTAATTGCTTTATACATCCTTATAATTTTGGATCTTCTTAGTGTTGTAGGGAAGCTGCTTGCCTGTGTCCTACTGAAGAGGCTCCAGGTGCTTGCAGAGAGTCTATCCAGAATCACAGTGTGGATTTCGAGCCAACAGGTCCACTACTGAGGTCCACTACTGATATGGTATTTTCCCTTAGACAGTTGCAGGAGAAATGCAGGGAACAAAGACAGCCCCTTTTTGTAGCCTTCATAGATCTTACGAAGGCTTTTGACTTGGTTAGCAAGGATCGCCTTTATAAAATTCTCCCCAAGATTGGATGTCCACCTCGACTTCTCAACATCATCAGTTCCTTTCATGAGGAAATGAAGGGCACTGTAGTTTTTGATGGCTTAACTTCAGATTCCTTTGATATTCGAAGTGGAGTGAAGCAGGGCTGTGTCCTCGCACCACTTTCACTCTCAAACTTTAAATTATCTGTTTCCTTGATGTCAAATCGTCAATGGTATCCAGATTCCCCCTTGGTTCTTTTCCTTCACTCCGCTGATATTATAATTTCTAATTCGTTGTTTCTTGTCTTGCCTTTTGGTGTTTTTAAAAATAGTTTGACCCCCTCGTTTTTGTAGGAGTACCTCAAATATTGGGAAAGTGCTATCATGCCATCCCACTTTTTTTCTCTAGATTAGTCATACCCTCTAAGTGTTGGTCATATGTTTTAGCCTCCAGCTCCTAATCTTTATTGTTCTTCCTCTCTGCACACTTTCTAGAGTCTCAACACCTTTTTATATACTTTGGTGAGCAGAACTGGATACAATTTTCCGAGTGTGGTTTTACTAAGGCTTTGTAAAGTGATACTAGAACTTCATGTGATCTTGATTCTATCCCTCTATTAATGCTTTCCAGGATTCTATGGTGGTGGTGTTTTTTGCCTGGAAAAATTTCATTTCAATGAATTTCCCATATTATTAATCTTAATAACAGTTTACAGTGGAAATAGATTGATGGGTAGAGAGTGAATGGTTATGACCCAGTATAAAAGCCTTTTTTTTAAAAAAAACCAAAAACAGTTAAATATTCAGGATTCACAAACTCAATGTCGATCACATTTCAAAGAACCCCAACAAATCCTACCTAATATACTATAACACTGTATTAAATATATATTGATAAAATGGTAGTCAGCTTTTTATTATATTTGTACAGAGCTTTAGGAATTGAAACTGTAAAACCCAGAAAAATGTCTCTGCAAATATTGGACATCATTTGAGTCAATATCTGAAATATCCTAATAGTGACTAAGAAAACTAAATCAAAGTCAAGTTCAGCAAGAGTGTTGAAAGGGAGAATGGATTAGGTTAAAGAATCCTGGACAATTATAGAAATGCAGCAACCTGAGCACTGACTTTGGAATGGGTTTAAGGATGAATTAATCTTAAATAACCTACATTAATCCTTCCTTGACAGAAAAACAAAACAAAACTATGTTCCTACAGTCCTGTAGACTGTAAACAGTTTTTTATTCTTTTTTTCAGCAATTTTACCTAGAAAAAAGATCACATGATGTACTAATTTCTCTTTGTGAGATTCTCCCTGTAGTTGAGGTCAGGCCGGAAAACAATGATGTAGCATTTTGGGAGGAATATGCATCCCAGTAACGCAGCACTGGAGGACAAGATGGAGAAAACCTCCACAGCTACCATGGCTTTTCCTTTTGTGCTCTGATAGGCTGGAAAGAAAGAGATCCACACACTGCAAAAGGCCAACATGCTGAAGGTGATGAACTTGGCTTCATTAAAGCTGTCAGGTAATTTACGGGCAAGAAAAGCCACAATAAAGCTGGCAATGGCCAAGATACCCATGTAGCCCAAGACACAGTAGAATAAGAAAGCTGACCCCTCATTGCATTGTAAAATCATTTCTTGGAGTTCAGAGTGCATGTCCAAATCAGGGAATGGAGGAGATGTTGACAACCAAAGAATACAAATACATACCTGGAAGAGAGAGCAAGAAAGGACAATACAAAAAGATAATCTTTTCCCCACCCATCTCCTCATCTGAGATCCTGGTTTCGTGGCCATGAAAGCCACAACCACAATGATGGTTTTGGCCAGTACACAGGAAATGGCCACTGAGAAAGTGATGCCAAACATTGATTGTCGAAGAAGGCAGATTACTTTGTCAGGCCGGCTAAGGAAGAAGAAAGAGGAGAGAAAACAGAGGAGAAGAGAGACAAGCAGGATGTAGGTGAGGGATCGGTTGTTGGCTTTGACAATGGGAGTATCCCTGTACTTAACAAATGTTCCAAGTACCCAAGATGTCAGGAAGAATAAACCAAGAGCTGCTGAGGTTAAACCAATTCCTAACGGCTCTTCAAATGTTAGAAACACCACCAGTTTCAGGATACAGCCTTTCTTTTCTTTATTGGGATAATGATCTTCTGAACATGGAAAACAGTCATCCATATCTGGAAGGAAAATCAAGGAAATTGTCATATAGGCTTTCTAAATTATTGAAAATCACATTATCTTTATGCACCCATGTAGTTTATTGAAGTTTGCTTAAGTCTAATGAAATGTGGTAGAATTGCAATCCTACCATTTTGATCTGAAATCTTCCCTTCTGGGCATGGAACACAGTCAAAGCAGCAGAACTGATTTCCCTCAATCCCTTTCTTCCAGGATCCAGGGAAACAAGGGTCATTACATTGAGAAATTGGAAGAACCTGATGAGAAACATGAAAATGTTTTGAAAAGGAAAGTTTTTAAAAGAGTTTCTGAATTTTCTCCTTAATGGGATAACACGATTATGGACTTCCCAAAAGGATGCAGAATGTAATAACTTCATCAACAACTTAAAATAATGTAGGAATTATAATGATATAAAAAAGCTCCTGTCTGAAGAGGCGGGTAAATAAATAAGTACACATGGTGACAATCTCATGGAAACATGGCCACTCTTGTGATTTCAAGTGGAAATTCCCACCAAATATGCAATCCTGGCTTTTACATTGTAAAATTCTATACCCTACAATGACCGTTTCTGCATTTGCAGAGTGGCAGGGGTAGAAGACCAGGCTCACATCCTATTTGACTGTTGCTTGTATAAGGGGGTGAGAGACAGGTACTTTGGTCCATATACCAAAGGAATGACCCATTGGGATCCCCATATCAAAATAACTTACTTTATGTGCGTCCAGAGCCTGAAAATAACATTTAACACAGCAAAGTACTTAAACAAAATGGTTCATTGAGATCTGCAAACATGGGACTGATTGGGGTAGATTGTAAGGGTGGCTGTCGAACCCCAAATGGTAATATAATTTTACGTCATTTTATTCTATTTTATATATTTATGTATTAAATTATATTGTATCTTAGTCTATAACGATTGTATTTTACCCTACTCTTATTTTAAATTGTTTGTATAAGATTTTATTGGCGATATGTGTTTGCACCTTGTTCTTTGACATGACCTAGAGGGTAATCAAAGCTATCATTTTAAAGTGTATTTTATTCCAATTTCATTTTAAATTGTATTTTATCCAATTCCATTTTAAATTGTTTTTATCAGATTTTAGTAATAATTTTTATGGAACTCTGCACTTTCATTTGGCCTAAAGGCTAATCAATAAAGTAAACTCTGAATTCTATACATTGTAATGTCATATTTGTCAATTTGAGGAATCCTTGATCATCCACAACATTTGAAAGAACATCCCATTGTTTATTAAAAAAATACAGAAATTGCATTTCTAAAGAAACTGTGTTCAATATGGGATCAAAATGGATTAAGGCATGGTGGATTCACTAATTCGATACCTGGTTAAAACCTGGGTGCCATTCAACTAGATCTTCATCAATGAATAATTCCTTTCCTTTTGGAGCCTGTAGATCCATCTCTCCAACTCTAACTCTCTGAAAGGATCTGTTTGGAAAGGTGATCAAGTTGATGATGTCGAATCCGCCAGTTGCTTCCCCTTTCTCATTCAGGGACACTCCCTCCCCAGCTGAATTGTTGAAAGAAATGCCATGAAGAAATGAATGGAGCTATATGAAAAAGAATAAAAAAGAGAAAGAGTTGAAAGCATTATTGTAGAGAGGAGACCATCAGATTCAAGTTTCACTCACTCGTTTTTTCAATTCCTATAATATGTACAATTATAACACAAATCAGATTTTCTTTATCTATTCTGTGCAGAATGGAATAACAGAATTAGAAGGACTTTGGACGTTTTCTAGTGCAACTCCCTGCTTAAAGAGGAGATCGTTTCAGACAAACGGTTGTCCAATCTCATCATAAAAATTCCCAGTGATGGAACACTCATAAGTTCTGAGTGCAAGCTGTCCAACAAATTAATTTTTCTCACAATTTTGAGGTTCTTTCTCACGGTTAACTTGATTCCACACAGAGAAAATATTTTTTTAAAAAAATTCCACAATGCATTCAAAACACAATTCTACATCAAACTGCTCATTGCAATAAAACTGTCCAATGCAGAGACAATACCTGCCAAGCCTGGATATCTGGATTTTCAGGTTTTTTACTCATTATATTTTTTTTCGTATTATAACTCAGCATGAGTAATGCTTGCAAAGCATGAGCCACAGCATAAACACCATTGTAGATACCATAGCTTTGGCCAGTCATTTCCATTTCAAAGACAGGCGCAGGAAGATCCTCCAGTTTCTGCCCAGTGCATTTCTTACTGTGCATATCTTGTAACTCTGATTTTGGAAATGAACAGTCAAATGATTGTTCCCAAAATTCATGCAGAAACCCATTTCTGTAGACTGAAAGAGGATTTACGGTCTGAAGAAATTCCTTGAAACCCACAACAGATAATGAATGAGCATTGAAGGAAATAGCCCCATGGAACATCTGGAGATCCCACGTGATTTGAAATCCTGATAATATGAAATCAATCTGCGCAGTCATAATCCACACCTTTCTAAATAATTCAATTTCCTTGCTCTCAGGATCTATCATAAATCTGACAAATCTTAGGGACATAATTGTCCAGGATTCTCCATAGACAAGAAATGCATTGGATTTGCTATTCATCATATGGATGGCAATAATTTGAAAAGTTTCTTCGGAATCTTCCAAATGGGCAAGTTGTGAAATCCTTTGAATAAATGATAAACATATTCCATTCTGTGAAACTAAGGGCTGCATTTTCTGTAAGAAATTTTCTCCATTATTGCTATCAACAGCAAAAATCCCAATCCATGTCCACCTGAAATGTTGAAGCAGCTGGATGATTCCAATGTATTGATGGTCCTCTTTGGGGACCATGAAATAAAGTGAAGAGAATTTATTAGTCTGAAATTTCTCCTTGGCTAATGAGCCATATGTCAGCTGCAAGAAAATGGAATAGGATTCTGTTCAATTATTAAATTGAATCTATTTTTTCCCACTCTAGTTTTCTCATATATCCATATATAACATTTTCTTATATAACATTTTTTCCTAGAATTCTTCTAAATATTAACGTAGAAAGGAATTTCTTGGAATTACTTCAAGCACATATAAGAGATCAATTGTTTTAATAGAAGCAATTCAAATGTTCTGTCAGCTATGGCCCTCATACTCACTTCTTGTAACTGGCATTGTAGTTTCAGAAAAGAATGCTAAGTAGGAGACCTTTTGCCATGTAGAACATCTTAATACAAACCTGAGATTAATCTTTGATGCCCATTAATTGTTCCATAACAACAATATTAAGAATGTTCTTCCCAACCCCTTCAGAACTTACTTGTGGAATCTTGAACAAGTCTATAATTTCAGCTATGTAAGATGATGTGTCAAAATCCAATCCTCCAATGATTGCCATGAGATTCTTCTGGCTAACACATTTGTAGTTAGGGACAAATTCCTGGGATTTGAAAAGCAGGTCCAGAGTGGTGCGATAGGTCATCCTTGCATTGCAATAACTGTCATAGATGTGGAACCCAAGAGTGATGTTAGGTAAGATCTGGGAGTCTTCATTGATCTCCTTCACAGCAAAGGCCAAGGCAAGGACATGTTGATGAAATTTGGTGATTACACTGCAAATATTTTAAATACCCCAGTTGAAAATGTAAGCTGACAATTCTCAGAAGGTAGCACCATTTCTGGATAAAGAACAAACATTTCTTTCTGTGATGGTAATAGAAAGAAAATAGCCTTTCTAAAATTCTTAATTTCTACAGAGTGGTCATTGGTGCTGTCAGAGTTTGGTTGCTTTCTTGTAGATGTTTCTTTACCAAAAGACAGTAACATAATCCCCAACCCAAACTAGATAATATCATCACTGTCTGGCACTGATGATGTTATCTAGTTTGGATAATGAAATGACTGCAAGAAAACAATTAATGTCAGAGAGCAGCAATAATCCCTCATTTCAACCCCGAACTAAAATATTCTCCTTTATTGATAATTTTATTTTTCTTTTCATACAGTATTGCAACAGATACATACTGCAACAAATAAAAGTACTGACTTTTTTCGAAGTGCTATATTTATTTTCTAAGAGATTTTCAGAAATTGGTATATGAACAGATTATTATTATTATTATTATTATTATTATTATTATTATTATTATTAAACTCGGTCTACAGAACATTCAAAAATGCATCACAAATACCATTGACTGGTGCTAATGGTTGATACGGGTTGCTGCCAGCATCCTAGGTATCAACCAAGTACCTTCTTAAGATGTACGATGTTCCAAGGAGCACAGATTTTTGCAGTTCCACTGGTGTTATTGCAGGAAGCTGTAATTTGTTCATGTATCTTATAAAATTCTTGGATGTGGTACCAAGTGCCCTGATGACAATGGGTATGACGGTTATGTGTTTCATCCATAGCCGTGTACTTTCGATGGCCAGGTCACAATATTTCATGACTTTTCCCAGTTCTTTTTCTTTGACTCTGGCGTCTCCTGGTACCATGATGTCAATAAATTGTACGTTTCAGTTTTCGACAACTGTGATATCTGGCGTGTTGTGTTCCAAGTGACGATCCATCTGTATTCAAAAGTCCCACAAGATCTTCACCTTATCATTTTCTATAATGTTTTCCACTTTATGTTCCCATGACTTTTTGAATATAGGTAAGTCTTATTTTTTACATAATGACCAGTGGATTAATTTAGCAACTCGGTCGTGTCTAGCTTTGTAATCAGTTTGTGCAATTTTGTTGCATTCATATATTAAATGTGAAACAGTTTCAACTTTGTTGTTGCAAAGTCGGCAGTTTGGATTGTCAGTGGATTTTTGTATCTTTGCTTTCATGACATTAGTTTGCAGTGCTTCTTCTTGAGCAGCGAGTATTAAAGCTTCCATGTCTTTCTTGATGGTTTCCATCTTAAGCCATGCCCATGTAAAATTGTCATCACATTTTCCTTCAATGTTTTTCAAGTGCTGTCCATGCAAAGCTTTGGTTTTCCATCTATTTAATCTGTCATCCAGCTGCTTTTCCTTATATTTTGCCTTTGTTTCTGTTTTTTTTATAATGTTCTCCATTTTTACAGCCTACAGCAATTTTTCTGTACTTTGGTTCATGTAATCATTCAAACTTTGTTTTTCTTCTTCTACTGTTTGATGGATTTGCAACAGTCCTCTACCCACTATTTTCCTTGGCAGGTACAACCTGGCGATGTCACTTTGTGGATGTAAATTGTGGTACATATTCAAAAGTTTGCGCATTTTCCAGTCCAGGTTTTCCAGTTCAGCCACAGTCCAGTTGATGATTCCAGCTGAGTATCATATCACTGGGACTGCCCATGTATTAATGGTTTAATTATGTTTCCAGCATTCAGCTTTGATTTTAATATTTTGCAGACCCTCCTGATGTATTCCTTTTGCATTGACTCTTTGACTTTTCCATTCACGATGATGATGATGATGATGATGATGATGATGATGATAAACCAGTCAGCAGTACTGACAGAGACAATACAAACTATATATACTAACAGAGACAATACAAACTATATATATATACAGAAGTGAGAAAAAGGAGGGGGGGAAATCAAAATACTCCAGGTATTATTTACTTACTGTATGTATGTTTTGTGAGGAGAGAGAATGTCAAACCTTTCTAAAATTATCTTTCCCTTAGAAAATGTTCAAATAGAACTTCTTGATCTGAAATTGTGAAAGACTTTAATAGAATGAAAAAGGGTAATTTCCTCTTTCATAACCAGATAGAATTGAAACAAAGAAAAGGCATAATGATATTTAAAAACCCTACATTTATGCACAAAGAACTTTTAGTCATATAAAGGATTTTTGAAAATCTGGGTAAGATTAGCTAGAGAAAAAAAGTTCTTACTTTGGCATGTCATAAGGTTTCCTAGAAGGATTTTCACTAAATGTAATTTCATAAAGGTGGTAACCGAAGTGAGATGCCATCCCACCAATGATGATGTCTCCAGGCTGGTACCACTCATGTGGAACAAGGAGAGCATCACTTGCAGGGCATTCCAGAGTAGCTACTTTGTGTACCAAAAGCATCACAAGAAACATCTTCATGCTTTCGTTATTGTGAAAACGTTTTCCCCTCCATCCTACCGATTGGGAAATACCTATAATCCAATCCTTCATCTAAAGATTGAGCCAAGGTTTATATCTGAGAATGCACCTAATGAGAAAAATTTATCATTTTCTACTTGAAGATCTATGTGAGTCCAAATTTGTATCTTGTATACTGCCAGGATTTGAACAGATACTCTGGCAGAAGAAAACAAAGGGTAGAAACCTGAAGCAGTGAATCTGACAGAGCCATTATTACCCTTGTGCCAAACCTCCTGTGGTCAAGTGTTTCTTTATATGCATGCTGAGAGCTTGACTGTTACTGAATATCAATTCTCTTCTGGGCAGCCTTTGGTATTTTGGTCTAGCTAGGAAAAAACATGGTGATTCCTGTAGGAGATAATTATTTTATTTTGATGAGATAATAATTGGCTAATGGTTCAACTCTTTTTTTAAAGTGACCAAATACCAATGAAAGTAACATAAGAGAGATTTTTAATAAAATATATGCTTGGTTCTTGAAATGGTTGAAAGTTTTTATTGAAGCATTTATTTTCTACCAATTTTTCTACAAGACAGAATATGAGCACATCCAGTAGGTATCAGTCATTTATTGTATGCATTTTTTTTCAAGGAGTAACAATGCAGAATTTTTTTAAAAAGTACCTTAAGAGCCCTAAAAATCTTCAAAAGATTCCTGGTACCAAAGTTTCATACATTCTATTGCAAACACTTTAACATAACTTAAAGCAGAGGTCCCCAACCACTGGCGATGCCAGAAACCCAGCCCTGCAAACAAGAGATGCCCTATCCGAGGGATGCAGGCAGCACGTGAAACCAAATTATTCCAGTCTACAGGAAAACCTTTTTCCCCCAGTTAGTTTCATGTTTGCGATATCTCCTTCAATCAGATAGCGATGCACAGTTGTTCTAGGATTTGGGCTGAATTTCATATTTGATTTTCTTGAAAAATGCCAGGCTTTTTATTATGGTCAATAGTCAGTATACATTTTGAACAAAGGGTGAGACAGAAGTAAGAATACAAAGAACATAAAATAATAGAGTTGGAAAGGAACTTGGAGGTCTTCTCGTCCACACACCCCTCCCCCACTGAGCAGGAGATCCTATACCATTTCAAACAATTGGTTGTCCAGTCCCTTTTTCAAAGCTTCCAGTGATGAAGCACCCTCAACTTCTGAAGGGAAGCTATTCCATTAGTTGATTGCACTCACCATTAGGAAATTTATCCTTAGTTCTAGGTTGCTAAGTGTTGTTCATATGTTTTAGCCTCCAGCTCGTAATCATTCTGGATACATTTTTCCGAGTGTGGTTTTACTAAGGCTTTGTAAAGTGATCCTAGAACTTCATGTGATCTTGATTCTATTCCTCTATTAATGCTTTCTAGGATTCTATGTTGGTGGTGTTTTTTGCCAGGAAAAATTTCATTTCAATGAATTTCCTATATTATTAATCTTAATAACAGTTTACAGTGGAAATAGATTGATGGGTAGAGAGTGAATGGTTATGACCCAGTATAAAATCCTTTAAAAAAAAAAAGATAGTTAAATATTCAGGATTCACAAACTCAATGTCGATCACATTTCAAAGAACCCCAACAAATCCTACCTAATATTCTATAACACTGTATTAAATATATATTGATAAAATGGTAGTCAGCTTTTTATTATATTTGTACAGTGCTTTCGGAATTGAAACTGTAAAACCCAGAAAAATGTCTCTGCAAATATTGGACATCATTTGAGTCAATATCTGAAATATCCTAATAGTGACTAAGAAAACTAAATCAAAGTCAAGTTCAGCAAGAGTGTTGAAAGGGAGAATGGATTAAGTTAAAGAATCCTGGACAATTATAGAAATGCAGCAACCTGAGCACTGACTTTGGAATGGGTTTAAGGATGAATTCATCTTAAATACCCTACATAAATCCTTCCTTGACAGAAAAACAAAACAAAACTATGTTCCTACAGTCCTGTAGACTGTAAACAGTTTTTTATTCTTTTTTTCAGCAATTTTACCTAGAAAAAAAGATCACATGATGTACTAATTTCTCTTTGTGAGATTCTCCCTGTAGTTGAGGTCAGGCCGGAAAACAATGATGTAGCATTTTGGGAGGAATATGCATCCCAGTAATGCAGCACTGGAGGACAAGATGGAGAAGACCTCCACAGCTACCATGGCTTTTCCTTTTGTGCTCAGATAGGCTGGAAAGAAGGAGATCCAAACACTGCAAAAGGCCAACATGCTGAAGGTGATGAACTTGGCTTCGTTAAAGCTGTCAGGTAATTTACGGGCAAGAAAAGCCACAATAAAGCTGGCAATGGCCAAGATACCCATGTAGCCCAAGACACAGTAGAAGAAGAAAGCTGACCCCTCATTGCATTGTAAAATCATTTCTTGGAGTTCAGAGTGCATGTCCAAATCAGGGAATGGAGGAGATGTTGACAACCAAAGAATACAAATACATATCTGGAAGAGAGAGCAAGAAAGGACAATACAAAAAGATAATCTTTTCCCCACCCATCTCCTCATCTGAGATCCTGGTTTCGTGGCCATGAAAGCCACAACCACAATGATGGTTTTGGCCAGTACACTAGAAATGGCCACTGAGAAAGTGATGCCAAACATTGATTGTCGAAGAAGGCAGATTACTTTGTGAGGCCGGCTAAGGAAGAAGAAAGAGGAGAGAAAACAGAGCAGAAGAGAGACAAGCAGGATGTAGGTGAGGGATCGGTTGTTGGCTTTGACAATGGGAGTATCCCTGTACTTAACAAATGTTCCAAGTACCCAAGATGTCAGGAAGAATAAACCAAGAGCTGCTGAGGCTAAACCAATTCCTAACGGCTCTTCAAATGTTAGAAACACCACCGGTTTCAGGATACAGCCTTTCTTTTCTTTATTGGGATAATGATCTTCTGAACATGGAAAACAGTCATCCATATCTGGAAGGAAAATCAAGAAATTGTCATATAGGCTTTCTAAATTATTGAAAATCACATTATCTTTATGCACCCATGTAGTTTATTGAAGTTTGCTTAAGGCTAATGAAATGTGGTAGAATTGCAGTCCTACCATTTTGATCTGAAATCTTCCCTTCAGGGCATGGAACACAGTCAAAGCAGCAGAACTGATTTCCCTCAATCCCTTTCTTCCAGGATCCAGGGAAACAAGGGTCATTACATTGAGAAATTGGAAGAACCTGATGAGAAACATGAAAATGTTTTGAAAAGGAAAGTTTTTAAAAGAGTTTCTGAATTTTCTCCTTAATGAGATAACACGATTATGGACTTCCCAAAAGGATGCAGAATGTAATAACTTCATCAACAACTTAAAATAATGTAGGAATTATAATGATATAAAAAAGCTCCTGTCTGAAGAGGCGGGTAAATAAATAAGTACACATGGTGACAATCTCATGGAAACATGGCCACTCTTGTGATTTCAAGTGGAAATTCCCACCAAATATGCAATCCTGGCTTTTACATTGTAAAATTCTATACCCTACAATGACCGTTTCTGCATTTGCAGAGTGGCAGAGGTAGAAGACCAGGCTCACATCCTATTTGACTGTTGCTTGTATAAGGGGGTGAGAGACAGGTACTTTGGTCCATATACCAAAGGAATGACCCATTGGGATCCCCATATCAAAACAACTTACTTTATGTGCGTCCAGAGCCTGAAAATAACATTTAACACAGCAAAATACTTAAACAAAATGGTTCAGTTGAGATCTGCAAACATGGGACTGATTGGGGTAGATTGTAAGGTGGCTGTCGAACCCCAAATGGTAATATAATTTTACGTCATTTTATTCTATTTTATATATATATGTATTAAATTATATTGTATCTTAGTCTATAACGATTGTATTTTATCCTACTCTTATTTTAAATTGTTTGTATAAGATTTTATTGGCGATATGTGTTTGCACCTTGTTCTTTGACATGACCTAGAGGGTAATCAAAGCTATCATTTTAAAGTGTATTTTATTCCAATTTCATTTTAAATTGTATTTTATCCAATTCCATTTTAAATTGTTTTTATCAGATTTTAGTAATAATTTTTATGGAACTCTGCACTTTGATTTGGCCCAAAGGCTAATCAATAAAGTAAACTCTGAATTCTATACATTGTAATGTCATGTTTGTCAATTTGAGGAATCCTTGATCATCCACAACATTTGAAAGAACATCCCATTGTTTATTAAAAAAAATACAGAAATTGGATTTCTAAAGAAACTGTGTTCAATATGGGATCAAAATGGATTAAGTCATGGTGGATTCACTAATTCGATACCTGGTTAAAACCTGGGTGCCATTCAACTAGATCTTCATCAATGAATAATTCCTTTCCTTTTGGAGCCTGTAGATCCATCTCTCCAACTCTAACTCTCTGAAAGGATCTGTTTGGAAAGGTGATCAAGTTGATGATGTCGAATCTGCCAGTTGCTTCCCCTTTCTCATTCAGGGACACTCCCTCCCCAGCTGAATTGTTGAAAGAAATGCCATGAAGAAATGAATGGAGCTATATGAAAAAGAATAAAAAAGAGAAAGAGTTGAAAGCATGATTGTAGAGAGGAGACCATCAGATTCAAGTTTCACTCACTAGTTTTTTTCAATTCCTATAATATGTACAATTATAACACAAATCAGATTTTCTTTATCTATTCTGTGCAGAATGGAATAACAGAATTAGAAGGACTTTGGACGTTTTCTAGTGCAACTCCCTGCTTAAAGAGGAGATCGTTTCAGACAAATGGTTGTCCAATCTCATCATAAAAATTCCCAGTGATGGAACACTCATAAGTTCTGAGTGCAAGCTGTCCAACAAATTAATTTTTCTCACAATTTTGAGGTTCTTTCTCACGGTTAACTTGATTCCACACAGAGAAAATATTTTTTAAAAAAAATTCCACAATGCATTCAAAACACAATTCTACATCAAACTGCTCATTGCAATAAAACTGTCCAATGCAGAGACAATACCTGCCAAGCCTGGATATCTGGATTTTCAGGTTTTTTACTCATTATATTTTTTTTGTATTATAACTCAGCATGAGTAATGCTTGCAAAGCATGAGCCACAGCATAAACACCATTGTAGATACCATAGCTTTGGCCAGTCATTTCCATTTCAAAGACAGGCGCAGGAAGATCCTCCAGTTTCTGCCCAGTGCATTTCTTACTGTGCATATCTTGTAACTCTGATTTTGGAAATGAACAATCAAATGATTGTTCCCAAAATTCATGCAGAAACCCATTTCTGTAGACTGAAAGAGGATTTACGGTCTGAAGAAATTCCTTGAAACCCACAACAGATAATGAATGAGCATTGAAGGAAATAGCCCCATGGAACATCTGGAGATCCCACGTGATTTGAAATCCCGATAATATGAAATCAATCTGCGCAGTCATAATCCACACTTTTCTAAATAATTCAATTTCCTTGCTTTCAAGATCTATCATAAATCTGACATATCTTAGGCACGTAATTGCCCAGGATTCTCCATAGACAAGAAATGCATTGGATTTGCTATTCATCATATTGATGGCAATAATTTTGCCTGCTTGAAAACTTTCTTCGGAAACTTCCAAATGGGTAAGTTGTGAAATCCTTTGAATAAATGATAAACATATTCCATTCTGTGAAACCAAGGGCTGCATTTTCTGTAAGAAATTTTCTCCATTATTGCTATCAACAGCAAAAATCCCAATCCATGTCCACCTGAAATGATGAAGCAGCTGGATGATTCCAATGTATTGATGGTCCTCTTTGGGGACCATGAAATAAAGTGAAGAGAATTTACTAGTCTGAAATTTCTCCTGGGCTAATGAGCCATATGTCAGCTGCAAGAAAATGGAATAGGATTCTGTTCAATTATTAAATTGAATCTATTTTTTCCCACTCTAGTTTTCTCATATATCCATATATAACATTTTCTTATATAACATTTTTTCCTAGAATTCTTCTAAATATTAACGTAGAAAGGAATTTCTTGGAATTACTTCAAGCACATATAAGAGATCAATTGTTTTAATAGAAGCAATTCAAATATTCTGTCAGCTATGGCCCTCATACTCACTTCTTGTAACTGGCATTGTAGTTTCAGAAAAGAATGCTAAGTAGGAGACCTTTTGCCATGTAGAACATCTTAATACAAACCTGAGATTAATCTTTGATGCCCATTAATTGTTCCATAACAACAATATTAAGAATGTTCTTCCCAACCCCTTCAGAACTTACTTGTGGAATCTTGAACAAGTCTATAATTTCAGCTATGTAAGATGATGTGTCAAAATCCAATCCTCCAATGATTGCCATGAGATTCTTCTGGCTATCACATTTGTAGTTAGGGACAAATTCCTGGGATTTGAAAAGCAGGTCCAGAGTGGTGCGATAGGTCATCCTTGCATTGCAATAACTGTCATAGATGTGGAACCCAAGAGTGATGTTAGGTAAGATCTGGGAGTCTTCATTGATCTCCTTCACAGCAAAGGCCAAGGCAAGGACATGTTGATGAAATTTGGTGATTACACTGCAAATATTTTAAATACCCCAGTTGAAAATGTAAGCTGACAATTCTCAGAAGGTAGCACCATTTCTGGATAAAGAACAAACATTTCTTTCTGTGATGGTAATAGAAAGAAAATAGCCTTTCTAAAATTCTTAATTTCTACAGAGTGGTCATTGGTGCTGTCAGAGTTTGGTTGCTTTCTTGTAGATGTTTCTTTACCAAAAGACAGTAACATAATCCCCAACCCAAACTAGATAATATCATCACTGTCTGGCACTGATGATGTTATCTAGTTTGGATAATGAAATGACTGCAAGAAAACAATTAATGTCAGAGAGCAGCAATAATCCCTCATTTCAACCCCGAACTAAAATATTCTCCTTTATTGATAATTTTATTTTTCTTTTCATACAGTATTGCAACAGATACATACTGCAACAAATAAAAGTACTGACTTTTTTCGAAGTGCTATATTTATTTTCTAAGAGATTTTCAGAAATTGGTATATGAACAGATTATTATTATTATTATTATTATTATTATTATTATTATTATTAAACTCGGTCTACAGAACATTCAAAAATGCATCACAAATACCATTGACTGGTGCTAATGGTTGATACGGGTTGCTGCCAGCATCCTAGGTATCAACCAAGTACCTTCTTAAGATGTACGATGTTCCAAGGAGCACAGATTTTTGCAGTTCCACTGGTGTTATTGCAGGAAGCTGTAATTTGTTCATGTATCTTATAAAATTCTTGGATGTGGTACCAAGTGCCCTGATGACAATGGGTATGACGGTTATGTGTTTCATCCATAGCCGTGTACTTTCGATGGCCAGGTCACAATATTTCATGACTTTTCCCAGTTCTTTTTCTTTGACTCTGGCGTCTCCTGGTACCATGATGTCAATAAATTGTACGTTTCAGTTTTCGACAACTGTGATATCTGGCGTGTTGTGTTCCAAGTGACGATCCATCTGTATTTGAAAGTCCCACAAGATCTTCACCTTATCATTTTCTATAATGTTTTCCACTTTATGTTCCCATGACTTTTTGAATATAGGTAAGTCTTATTTTTTACATAATGACCAGTGGATTAATTTAGCAACTCGGTCGTGTCTAGCTTTGTAATCAGTTTGTGCAATTTTGTTGCATTCATATATTAAATGTGAAACAGTTTCAACTTTGTTGTTGCAAAGTCGGCAGTTTGGATTGTCAGTGGATTTTTGTATCTTTGCTTTCATGACATTAGTTTGCAGTGCTTCTTCTTGAGCAGCGAGTATTAAAGCTTCCATGTCTTTCTTGATGGTTTCCATCTTAAGCCATGCCCATGTAAAATTGTCATCACATTTTCCTTCAATGTTTTTCAAGTGCTGTCCATGCAAAGCTTTGGTTTTCCATCTATTTAATCTGTCATCCAGCTGCTTTTCCTTATATTTTGCCTTTGTTTCTGTTTTTTTTATAATGTTCTCCATTTTTACAGCCTACAGCAATTTTTCTGTACTTTGGTTCATGTAATCATTCAAACTTTGTTTTCCTTCTTCTACTGTTTGATGGATTTGCAACAGTCCTCTACCCACTATTTTCCTTGGCAGGTACAACCTGGCGATGTCACTTTGTGGATGTAAATTGTGGTACATATTCAAAAGTTTGCGCATTTTCCAGTCCAGGTTTTCCAGTTCAGCCACAGTCCAGTTGATGATTCCAGCTGAGTATCATATCACTGGGACTGCCCATGTATTAATGGTTTAATTATGTTTCCAGCATTCAGCTTTGATTTTAATATTTTGCAGACCCTCCTGATGTATTCCTTTTGCATTGACTCTTTGACTTTTCCATTCACGATGATGATGATGATGATGATGATGATGATGATATATTAAACCAGTCAGCAGTACTGACAGAAACAATACAAACTATATATACTAACAGAGACAATACAAACTATATATATATACAGAAGTGAGAAAAAGGAGGGGGGAATCAAAATACTCCAGGTATTATTTACTTATTGTATGTATGTTTTGTGAGGAGAGAGAATGTCAAACCTTTCTAAAATTATCTTTCCCTTAGAAAATGTTCAAATAGAACTTCTTGATCTGAAATTGTGAAAGACTTTAATAGAATGAAAAAGGGTAATTTCCTCTTTCATAACCAGATAGAATTGAAACAAAGAAAAGGCATAATGATATTAAAAACCCTACATTTATGCACAAAGAACTTTTAGTCATATAAAGGATTTTTGAAAATCTGGGTAAGATTAGCTAGAGAAAAAAAGTTCTTACTTTGGCATGTCATAAGGTTTCCTAGAAGGATTTTCACTAAATGTAATTTCATAAAGGTGGTAACCGAAGTGAGATGCCATCCCACCAATGATGATGTCTCCAGGCTGGTACCACTCATGTGGAACAAGGAGAGCATCACTTGCAGGGCATTCCAGAGTAGCTACTTTGTGTACCAAAAGCATCACAAGAAACATCTTCATGCTTTCGTTATTGTGAAAACGTTTTCCCCTCCATCCTACCGATTGGGAAATACATATAATCCAATCCTTCATCTAAAGATTGAGCCAAGGTTTATATCTGAGAATGCACCTAATGAGAAAAATTTATCATTTTCTACTTGAAGATCTATGTGAGTCCAAATTTGTATCTTGTATACTGCCAGGATTTGAACAGATACTCGGGCAGAAGAAAACAAAGGGTAGAAACCTGAAGCAGTGAATCTGACAGAGCCATTATTACCCTTGTGCCAAACCTCCTGTGGTCAAGTGTTTCTTTATATGCATGCTGAGAGCTTGACTGTTACTGAATATCAATTCTCTTCTGGGCAGCCTTTGGTATTTTTTTCTAGCTAGGAAAAAACATGGTGATT